AGTCAATCGTTTTCAGGTCAGAGACACATTACTGGACATCAACCGGACAGCGTTCACCAGAAGCCACAAAGCGTGACAACAAGCAGAGATAGATCAGTCTACATGACTTTTCTCGCAAAACTACACATTAATACATTATTTTTATTCAATCACATCGTAATAATACTCGTATACCAGTTGTGAGAGAAAACCGCATCACACGGTACACCCGTGAAATAATAGTGGTGATATAAAACATCCTTACAGCTCAAGTAAGGGAACCCCAATTGGGTCCCGAACGAATTTTGACCGGTAAAGGAACAAGAAATTCTGGAAAGACATTTTCCATGCATGATCGCACCCACTGCTTAACGTCATCTTCTTCATTTAATGGACACTCAACGATGATTTCGTCATGAACGGTCATCACTATTCTCGTTGCACCTGCAAATAAATAAATTAATTCCTATTGAGAAACAATAAGGACAGGCTTAGATGGATGATTCTCCATGAACGAAGTTTCAGGAAAGACATCACTTCAGTAAGTCGACGGTAAAGACCTCACTTTTTCGACTTTGGTCAAGTGCCACAATCGCTCTCTTGAAGATTTCGCTTGCGGTGCCTTGGATTGTATAGTTGATGCTCTGTCGATCGTCTCTTGCCACGTCTTCTTGACGTCCCCGAGCGCTACAGGTTACCCGTCTTCGACCGAAAAAAATTCAAGTTACTGATCGAAAAGCGATATGCTTATTACAGAGTTACGCTTTGTAGTGAAGGATTCAAACCGGTCTCCCTTACGGAACGAAATGCCCTTACCTAAGATTGTAGTAACAAAACCAGCTTTCACAGCTTGATCCTTAACATTGTTGATGTACGTCCTCACCCCTGCAGAAAAATTATTGGTATTCTCCTGGATAATGCGTAAAAAACAACTCCACGCGCACTCACTAGGAAACGATTGGAAGAAATTTTTAATGAGTTCGTTCGCCTCTTCTACAGATTTCTTCACAGTCTCAGCAAGCGTTTTCGCTCCCATTCCGTAGATAACACCATAGCACAGCTGTTTTGCTGTATCACGTGAAATGCTTAACTTGGACGACATATCGGTAAACACATCTTGTCCTGAAAAAGCTTGTATCGTTTCAATATCTGATCCGTAAGATTTTTAGATTCAACGACAATGTTCAGGCCAGCCTCACTGAAGAGGGATAGAGGAGATACTACGTCCATAAGTGCAGTGGTTCTCTCAAAGCGGACCATTTCCACCCCCTCAAACGCGTCACTGAGGCACCAGGTGTTGGAGAGGTGATGGTCATAGGGTTCGTTATAGAATTACCCCATTAAGTGTCGGACTTTTGAAAGACACGTTCTGCTGAAAATGTTCTTGTGAAGGTGAGGTATTGGCGAGTGGTGCAACGCGCTATTCGGGCCTGAATTCCGGATTCAATCTCG